TAAGAAGCCTGGGGGGCTTCTCCGGAGCCATCCCGGCTTCGCAAAAGCCTTCTCGGGAGCCTCCAGGGCCTTTTGCGAAGGCCCCCGCCTTCTTGGAAAGCTTCCCTCCTCGCGGCCACCCCTGTGTGCGCGCTGCCAAGAGAGGATCCTCACAGGAGGAAATCAGTAGGGACAACAACTCGAGCACAAATAAGAGTCGATTCCCAGGAACAGATGGGAAACTGTGCGAAACCGGGGGGAAGTCGAACATCCAGAACATATGGAAATTGTTTGGGAATCAGGGAATTTGTGTATATTTGTATGTAGTAGTGTGTCCCTGGGCCCCTTCGAAGAACCACGTCCCGATACTGACGGTGCTCTTCTGGTGGTGCCGATGCCGATCGCAGGAGCTCTCTGGGGCGCTTCTGGAGGTTCTCATCGCCACGGCGGGGCGCAGCTCAGAGAACGGGCCAGGATGGTCCCCCTGGAGGGGTTCCTGGGATAGATGTTGAGTGGGCTTTGAGGCGCGGGCCCGCAGACCGATGCCGGTGCCCATCCCTCGATTTCGTCTTTGAGGGGCCTCGTCCAGCTTCGCCTCGGAATCCTTCTCAGCAAGGGCGCACCCCACCGGGGAGTGGTGCTATCGGTTCCATATTGTTGTTCCCCCAGTGTGTGTGTGTGTGTGTGTGTGTGAGTGTGTGTGTGTGTGTTTTGGGGGGTCCGTCGCCGGGGGGGGCTGCCTGCGGAGGAGGGAAGGGGGTGAGAGAGGAGTGAGGCAGTAAGTTCTGAGATAGGTTGTGTGTCGTCGAAGGCGGCGCCATCGAGATGTTGCAGGCCTGCTCGGGATCTCAATCGTCCATCGTCGTCCGCTCGCGAATCGGCATCGCCATCGTAAACCGTCATCGTGTTTCGTTCGTCGCATTCGCGGTTCCTGCAAGCCTTGCCAAACCCTCCTGTGTTCGGAGCTCATGCTGAGCCTCAGACCTCGCCTCCATGGGCGCCTGCCAACTGCGCAGAGAGCCAATTGCGCAGAGAGCCGCCTTTTTCACACGCTTGTGGGTGTTTCAGCAGTCTGCGGCCTTACCCAGACAGGCCTGGCCCCCCTGGATGACCCCCAGGGCGGTGCAGCGGAGCGTGGCCCTAGCCAGATCTAACTGGACCTCGCCTCCCTGGATGCTGCCGTCTGAGCAAATCGACGCCACATTACGTTAGGTCCAGCGGAGTGCGGCCCTATCCAGATCAAAGTGGAACCTCGCCTCCCTGGTGTTGCTAACTGATCAATCGTCGCCAATTTCGTGACCTAGTAAAGTGTACAGCGGAGTGCGATGTCATCAAGATCCGTACAGGACCTCTCCCAGGATGCTGTGAACTGCGCACCGTCGCCACTTTCGTGAGCTTGTGACGGGAAGGACAGGTGGACCTGAGGGGGCTGGTGCAGGCGCAGTGGAAGTCCTGAAAGTCCAAAGACACCGAGGCGAAGCCGAAACAAGATTGTCCCACGGCTCCTCTCCAGTGAAGGATGCGGTCGTATGGCGGACACGCAGGAACACATGAGCAAGCAGTTTCGCGGCGCGGACATCGTAGATCATCATGCATGGAGCTTCTCCCGCGGGGCTCCAGGGCAAGACCGAGAACTCGCAGCTCCCAAGGCACATAGTGCATCAGCCGTAAAGCAACGCCCGTCCATAAAACACCACAGCAAGAACGAACACTTGCTACGTTTAGATTCAGGTTCTTTCCAAACGCGTAGGGGACTGTAAGGGGAAACATTGGCCGCTGAACACAAACATATGTAAGGCGCATTGGTGGGGCCTTGCCAGAATGGCAGGCACACGAGCCACTCGCTTTTTAAGAGGGCGACCCCTCAGGGAATAGGGATGCTTACAGGGACCAGTTGTAAGGGTGCTGGATCGGGCGGACATGCTGAAGCATCGTGGATCTATCCGAGGTATGCACTATGGTCCTCCTCCTGGTCTGCGGCGTATCGCCGCAGAGGGCACGGGGTATTCTGGTGATAGAACGGTCGCCCCCAGTATTCTACCTTTTTCTTCCCCCTCAAAAACGCTGGTCCTCCTCCTCCTCCTCCTCCTCCTCCTGATCCTGATCTTGCCCCCCGATGCCCTTCCCGAGCATCTGAGCCCGCTCCTCCTCACTCCGAATCTCCTTCCCGAGCCGCTTCTGCTCTCGAGCCATCTGTGGTTCGCCCGTTTGAGGGGTTCCCGTGGTCCATGCATCCGCCGTTGCGGCAGCATCGTGACGGCATGCTTTGTGCCGAGCGCTCGGCGTCAAGGGGCGAAGCTCAGGGTCGTCAGAAGACGGCATTGCATATATGTGTGATTCACCGGCCCAGGGTCGAGGGCTCTGGGGGCCCGCGCTTCGACAAAGCGGTTACTCCCATGTCTGCTGGGGCCCTCTTCACCGCCGCTGAGGTCCCCACCAAGATAGCGTGTCGCTCCGCTGGTTCTGTCCCATCACGCTTCGGAGCGATACGCTATCCACCTCCTAGTCCCAAGGCTTCCACGTTGCGAGCCTTCTCGAGCCTCCCGCCCCGCGGAGCGGAGCGGCACGCTATCCGATCGCAAGGCGCAGTCTGTCGCTGGGGCCGCCGCCGCGACACGCTGTGCAGAAGCTTCCGACAGCAGCTTCTTGCCAGGGCGCGCCCCAGGACCGGTCCGGGGGGCGCCCGCGAGCTCCGAGGGTGTCGTCGATCCCCAGATCAAGCGGTGCCCAGGCCGCCTGCGTCCTGTCTTCTGCTCGGACCGCAGGATCCTCGGAGCTTTCGGCGCCCCCCCTTGGGGCCGGCGTCTGATCCCGGGTCGTTGTTTGTGTGCCTCGGGGTGTGCCCCCCCCTCCTTCCTCCTCCGCGGCCGCCCTGTCCGTCCTTTTCCCCTCCCCTGCAGGCTGGGCAATCCGCTGCTCGGTGTCCCCGTTCAGCTCTACCGCTGGTGCGGCCGTTCTGCCTCGCCGCCGGCGAACACGCAGCGTGCCTCGGGGTGCGCGCCGCGGGCCTCCACAGGCTGGAAAAAAGCCAGGGTGGGTGCGGCAAGGCACTGCGTCGGGTGCCGGGGCCCCTGCTCGGAAGTCATCTGGCAGCCCATCCCTCGAGCCAGTTATCCATGGCGTTCTGGCCAGAAAGCTTCGAGCGCAACCTCGCCGCGGCGACGGGGTCGCGCTCCAGAGGCCCAGCAGGGGCGGCAGAAACGCCATCGAACCTGCGTGGGTCCTCGATCCCCGCCCCCACCAGGGGCCGAAGCTGGTCCAGGGGCGCCCCTCCCCCTGACGTCCGCGCATGAGTTGGCACTCCCCAGTGCACCATGAACGCCCAGACGGTGGCGCGCGCGCGCGCGCCCGCGTCAAGAATTGGCCACATCATTGGTTCTTGCTCGCATGATGTGCCAAATTCTTGACGCAGCGCGTAGCCCCTCCAGACCATCTTAAAACAGTCACAAGGCGACTTGCCCTGATTAGGGATTTGCAGCGTGCTGGCTGAGTGGTTGCCTGTCGTTGTTTGTGGTGCCCGCATTACGTCGTGCATGCCCAGGGCTGCCATGGCAGAGTGGTTGATTGTTGTTCGCTGTTGTGCGTCCACTGGTTTGGGCGAGCGAACACCGACGACGCGTTGGGTGTATGGTCTCAGGGCCCTCGATATGTCTACGGACACGTTTCCTTTCTGCTTCATGAGTGTTCGTTGCACTTTCGTTCTACGCTCGTCTCTATTCACGGTGGGACTTTTTAGTTCCGTTCTAGTTTCGTTGTATTTTGTTTGTGCCAGTTTCGTTCCACCTTCGTTTCGTTATCGTTTGAATGTGCGTTCAGTCTTTTTTTCCCAGAAGGGAACGTCCCAGAACGAAAGCAAAAACGGAACTTCAGTGACAATCAAGAGCGCGTGAGTCATTGGAGGGCCCCGCGATCTTGCACCTAAGGTGCGCACGGAGTGGTCATCTAGCAAGCAGGGAGGGACGACCGACGGCGACGACTGGAGTCAATATCAAGACCTCTGCGATCTGTCGCTTCTGGGAACGTCTTGGGGCCGTCTTGGAAGCTTCTTTGGCCCTCTCGGGGCTCTGTTGCCCTCTTGGAACGCTCTTGGGGCTCTCTTGGGGCCCTCTTGGACGCCTTGGAGGCGTTCCTGCGGCCATTTTGGAGGCGACGAGTTCGGTCCACCCGTCGGGGCCGAACAGATCGCTTCTTGGGGTCCTCTTGGGCCGCTCTTGGGGCGGTCGTGGGCGCTCTTGAGGCCGCATTGGGGCCCCTCTTGGGGCCATCTTGGAGCCATCTTGAGGCCCATCGGAAGAGAAAAGGCGAGAAAGCAAACAATAGTGACAACACCATGATGTTTGAAGGATTTGGGCCTCCTGAGGGCCTCCGGAGGCCCAGAGGGCACGTGGGGCCGTCCTTGGACGATCTTGAGGGCTCTTTGAGACATGTGGGAGGCTATCTTGGATCATCTTGGGGTTATTTGAGCGATAGGATATTGGAGGCCACCTCTGGCTCTCTGGGGCCCTCTTGGAGCCACCGGGGGCCAACAAGAACCCTCTGACACCTTTCGAGGGGTGGTCCAGACACAGGGGGAGAGGGTATGGGGAGGGGGAGCCCCTTCCCCCAAGGGGGAGAGGGGGCACCAGAGCGAGCTCCCTAGACCACTCACACCCAGAGGGCTGGTGGATCTTGCGCAAGCCCTGCGTGGGTGATGTGTCAAACGTGTTCATCATTGCACCGCGTCCATCCGCCCCTCGCCACTCATGCGACCCCCCTTTTCTTAATTACGGTCGTCGTAGCACATTTCCTCCGCCCTGTTTTTGTGATGCCCCCTCGTTTTATTTCTTTTCGGGAAAAATTGCCGTCGGTCTGCATTATCAGACCTTGCTTCGTTCGCTTGGGCCAGGCAATCAACGGTCGACTACATGTATCGCACAGGGGGTGGCCCGTTGTTGTTGCCATTCATTTGAAATGGATTAGGTGCATCTGTGAATAATTTCGGTGTCGTGGCAACCTCCCGTAATTAGCCTTGTCCGCCGCAGGACGGCTTCAAAGCGGTACACTCCAAAGCGCAGGCTGCCGCCATCGTGGCAGCTGCAAAGGCCGCGCGCGCCGCAACTCTAGCAAGTGTCGGGCAGGGGGAAAAGGAGGAGGAGCGAAAAAGGGAAAGGAGGAAGAAAAGTAGGAGACGCGGACAATAAGGTGGATATAGAGAACAACAGTATGAGTTGGACAAGCAACAGGAGGAGGAGGAGGAGGAGGAGGATCATGAGAAGGAGAGGGGGGCAAGCAGGAGCAGGAACAGCAGCAGGAAGGGCATGCTGAGGAGGAGCAGGAGGACCGGCAGGAAAGGAGGCAGGTGCAGCAACATGGACAGTAGCCGGAGGAGAAGCAGCACCAACATCAGGAGATTGTCCAGATGGATTTTCCCACCAGGGCCTTGGATCAGTATAGGCCAGCACACCCGCCAGGGATGCTCCGTGCGCTTCAGCACCTGCCTTGCTGTCGGCCCAGACTCAGCCCCTGAGCGCAACGGGGCTGATGCTCCAGGTCGGCCTCCCATGAGCCGGCGGGAGCGATAGAGAGAACAGCGCAGTTGATGAAAGAGGTCCCCTCTTCACTTAGTACCTGTCCTTTTTCGTCGTCGTTCAACACACCAGCTGCAGGAGGAGCAGGAATAGGAGATGGAGGGGAGGCGGACGAACTCGTGGCAGCAGAGAGTATATTATAGATCTCAAAGCATCGCCCTTTCAGTCCCGTCACACCGATGACGAACGTCCGGAGAACCAGACAGAATTGCAGCACATACAGGCTCCTGCACCACGACAAAGAAGGGACGTGTCGTGAGCAGAGGCTGCCACATCACCAGCTAGGGGGAGAAGCCGTCCAAGTCGAGCGGGTCCACGCTGCTGCAGTCGGAACACCGTACGGCGCACCGAGATAGAGAAACGCACCGTCAACCGCCGCTTCCGCCCGCAGCCGAGCGCGAATAGGCTGAAACAGAAGCACTGCATCAGAAAAGCTGGCCTTCACCAGGGCCCTCGGGAGGATTCCGTGGAGCCCGAGAAGGAGCAATCAAGGAGGACAGGGGCGTCTCCCTCTACGGCTCCATGCTGCTCACCTGCACACACCGTCCCCCTTCCTCAGGGCCCAAGAAGGAGCAATCGAGGAGGACGGGGCTTCTCCCTCTGCGGCTCCGCGCTGCTCACCTGCACACGCCGTCCCCGTCCTCAGAGCCGCCAGCCGCACAGGGGGGAGAGGGGCCCCGCGGCTGGGAGCTGGGCGGCGCCTCCTCGAAGCCCGACTGGGCGAGGGAGACAGAGGAGAACGGGGGAGCGGGAGGAACGACGAGGGGGGAGACGACGAGGTACGAGGAGTACGCGGAGGAGGAGGAGCAGGAGCAAGAGGAGGAGGAGGAGGAGGAGGAGGAGGAGGAGGAGGAGGAGGAGGAGGAGGAGGAGGAGGAGGAGGAGGAGGAGGAGGAGGAGGAGGAGAGGAGAGGGAAGGAGGCGGAGGGCAGGAGGAGCGGGGAGGAGAGGGGAGGAGGCGGGAGGAGGCGGGAGGAGGCGGAGTCTCCTCTTTCTCTCCTTCCGTTCGCTCTTCTCCACCTCCGCTCATGCCATCCATACCATGTTTCCTCATCCGTCTTGCATCTCTTGTGGGAGCGGGTCCTGGCCCCTTGCCCCGACCCGGAGGCGGACGAGATCGACGCTAAGTACCAGATTCGATCCAAGACAGATGCCAAGGTTGGGCAGGGATCGGGGGCATTGTCAGCGTCTCCCCCGCTGTGTCATCATGCTCTCTCTTCTCTGTCTGGATGCTCTCCAATTGTAACGATGCCGTTAACATGTTCCTATGTCCAGCGATGGTGCGGGAGGCATGCATTCAAATGAAACCACTTACGAGCCCTGCAGCATATCGACCCGAGGTGTTTTCTATCATGGCATTGGCCTTTCGAGTTCGCTACTGCATATGGCCTGAACAGGCTAACGTTGGGGTACGCCGGCAATCAGAATACGCGCACAAACGCCATGATGTAAATCTGGTGTTTCCCCTGAGCCCCTGTAGACTGCGTCATTCCCGATGTGAGGGTACATCGGTGTATGCCGTGTGCACTTGTCCTGGGTGTTCGAGCGAAGCCAAACATATCGACTCATTGCCAGGTTTGCATCTGATAGATTGACTCGATGTGAGGCAGAGAGTGTTGTAAACCCATAGATCGGCAGTTCTTGGCATCAGCACAACCTCCTGTAATGCATGAAGTTGTGCTCCCTCTGGCCGCTTCTCTCTATCAGCATGTTGGGAGCACGTTGTACACAAGTGCGCACTTGCGGCCTCACTCCTCACCATCGTACCGTACCACCCCGTCACATTTCTGACCCTCTCTCCTCCCTCCACGTGTGGGTCGCATTGGGGAACCCATTAAGCAAGGTTACGCGCAAGGTTTACGGGCACCTTCCAGGGGGGAGGGGGGGGACATTTTCACGCTGACTAGAAGCTGGAGCAGCGGTGCCGAACAATGCGAACAAGCTGGCACAGAGGGAAGGCTTTAGGATGCACGGGGGGTAAGCTTTCAGGATGCACAGATGATGTGCAAGTCGTGTGATTATTCTTCTCCGCGCCCGGCATCGGACCAGGCTTCGTGCTCGTACGGGATTTTGCCTCGGGAATATCAGAACCATCACGCGCATGAGAGAAGCAAATATTCACGCTCAGATTGCTCGAACGCTCGGCAACAGCAGAAATATGCATTTCCGCTATTGTTAGTGTAGATATGCTGCTTGTTGGTCTTGTAGATGTGCTGTCCTGTTTGCGGTGGTCTTGTAGATGTGCTGTCCTGTTTCTGTTGTCCATGCTTCAAGCTGAACTCGTTCTCATTAGGCAGCGCGCGCAGCTCCCACGCAGCTCCCAATATACCATCCTGATGTCATCGGCCTCGCCATTTTCGAGTGCCATAGCTTTATCCCAATCTCACGAATGTATGCCCAAGTGAAACGGAGGGACTTCCAGGCCAAAGATTTAGCGAAGTTCAGCAAGGAGATGGACGAAAAATACGGAGTGGGATGGATACACATGGTGGGCGCATAGCAGTCGCTCGACTCTTCCTGAGTGTGCCCGTAGTGATTGTCGACATGATATCTTTGGGGCGAGGCCACTTCGTCGACATGAGAGGTATCCTTCTCCTTGTCCTCCTTCTCCTCCTCTATCCCCACCTCCTCGTCCTCGAGGCGGCAGGTGAAGTTGTGTGTTTTTGTCAGTGCTCTTTTCAAAAGGGGCTGCAAAACGGTGTCCGGGGAGCCCGACGGCGCGGACGAGGGCCGATGATAGCTCCACGAGGGCCCAGGGCCACAAGGCCGGACGACTCGAGGCGTGCCTGTTCCTCGGCGTCCGTGCCGCTCTCCCTACTCATCCCTCTTTACTCGGGCCGGGCGAAAGGGGGGGATTGGGAAAGGGAGGGTTACGAAATTTGCTGCGTGCAGCTGATGTCGGCCTCACCGAGGGGCCCATTCCTCGATACATAGTCGCCCCCGGCGCCGGGAGGCGCCGTGAAAATCAGCTACCTGAGCTGATTCTCAACCCCCCCCTTTGCTATCCCCCCTTTCGCCCGACCCGATTTACGTTTCTCTTTTCCATATCAGTTCAGGCTCTTCTTCTCTTCCCACTTGTCTCTCCCCCACCTCCCGTCATGCCATCGTATGCGTTCCTTCGCCTACGGTTGACTCCCACGAGCAAGAAGGAAGATGGGAAGGGAGTAGCACGGTCTCGCGATAGGACAGGACAGACGCCTTGCGTTTTGTATATGCACATAATTCTAGACTACATAGATACAGTCATATATTTGTATACATATGCGTATATATACATGTGTATCTGCATATCGAAGACGCCTACGGCGAATCAACGCCCCTCCCCTGCCTTTGCGGAAGCGCCAATGTGGCCGAAAGTTGGGCTAGAGCTTGGCCAAACTAGCGAACCGTGTGTTCCCCCAGCCGTCGTTGAAACCCTTCAGGGAACACGTGGGGAAGAGACTGAGGAGAAGAAGAAAAAAATAGTAGGAGGAAGAGAAGGAGGAGGAGGAGGAGGAGAAGGAGGAGAAGGAGGAGGAGGAGGAGGAGGAGGAGGAGGATAAGGAGGGCACTCTTGAGGTCTCCTGGGAGCCTCCCGGGGGACTCATGGAGGCCTCATGGGGGTCTCCTTCTGCCTCTTCGGGGCCTTTGGGGGCTTGTTCGGGGCCTCGTTGCCATCTTTGGCATCAGGGAGCCCTTTTGGGCCTTCTTGAGCCTCCCTCTTGGCCGTCTTGGAGCCTCTTTGGCCGTCTTGGGGCCATCTTGGAGTCCTCTTGGGCGCTTTGGGGGCGATTTTGGAGGCCCCTTGGGCCGTCTTAGGCCCTCGGAAGGCCGAAAAGAAGCGAATGTCAAAATTATTCGAAAACCATTGGGAAATCAATGATTTTGGCCTCCTCGGGCGGCCTCTTGGACCGGCTTGGGGGCCTCTTGGGGTCCTCTTGGGCCGTCTTGGTGGCCTCTTGGGGTCCTCCTGGGCCGTCTTGGTGGCTTCTTGGGCGGACTTGGAGGCATCCTGGACTATCTTGGGCCGTCTTGGAGGCCATCTTGGACCATCTTGGGCGAACCTGGAGGTCATCGTGGGCCATCCTGGCCGTCTTGGAGGCCATCTAGGCCGTCTTGGAGTTTTTCCCCATATCCTAAGATGGGGTTCTTGTTATTACTTAGACGCCTCCTACTCCTCCTCCTTCCTCCTCCTCTTTTCTCCTCCCCTCCTGTCGGGCTTACTCATACTCAGACTTGCTCATACACAGACTTACTCATACTCAGACTTACTCATACTCAGACCTACTCATACTCAGACTTACTCACACTCAGACATACTCATACACAGACTTACTCATACACAGACTTACTCACACCCAGCCGTACTCATACACAGACTCACTCATACCCAGACTTACTCATACACAGTATTAGTCATACTCAGACTTACTCATACCCAGACGTACACATACACAGACTTTCTCATACACAGACCTACTCATACCCAGACTTACTCATACACAGACTTACTCATACACAGACTTACTCATACTCAGCACCCCTAAGGGGAGCCGCCAGGGGTGGTTGCACGGGCTCGTTCGCGGCCATTTTGTGGGGATGTCTCAGGCGGTTTGCCTGTTTCTGGGCCCAACATCCTTCGCTTCGGAGCAGATTGTGAGGATGTCTCAGGCGAGGCGCTGGTTTCAGCACCCCTAAGGGGAGCCGCCAGGGGTGGTTGCACGGGCTCGTTCGCGGCCATTTTGTGGGGATGTCTCAGGCGGTTTGCCTGTTTCTGTGCCCAACATCCTTCGCTTTCGGAGCAGATTTGGAGGATGTCTCGAGCGAGGCGCTCATTTCAGCACCCCTAAGGGGAGCCGCCAGGGGTGGTTGCACGGGCTCGTTCGCGGCCATTTTGTGGGGATGTCTCAGGCGGTTTGCCTGTTTCTGGGCCCAACATCCTTCGCTTTCGGAGCAGATTTGGAGGATGTCTCGAGCGAGGCGCTCATTTTCACCCCCCAGGTGGGCCAGATTTTGAGGATGTCTCGATCGGTTTGCTAGTTTTGGTGGCCAGGCTCGTGGGCGCAGATTCTTCTCAGGATGCCACAGGAGGCTCCAACAGGCTCCAGGAGGCTCCAGGAGACCACATGAGGTCCCAGGAGGCATCAGGAGGCCACAGAAAGACTCAAGAGGCCACAGGATGTCCCAAGAGGCTCCAGGAGGCCCCAGGAAGCTCCAGAAGGCTTCAGGAAACCACAGGAGGCCCCAGGAGGCAACAGGAAGCGCCAGGAGGCCTCGGAAGGCAACAGGAGGCCCCGAGAGGCCCCAGGAGCAGGAGGCCTCAGAAGGCAACAGGAGTGGCTCCAATCCCATGTGTTTTACGTATGCTCCTATCGATTGGGCCTCACCTGGAGCACGATTCTTTGATGTTCTACGTATGTTTCTATAGATGGTCCTTCTCCTGTGTACACAATCCTAAATGTTTTACTCATGTTCCTATGTATTGGGTCTCTCCTGGGGCACGAGTCCTTGGTGTTTTACGCGTGTTCCTATAGATTGCCCTTCTCCTGTGGCTCTAATCCGCAATGTTTTATGTACGTCTGTTGCTATAGATTGCGCCTCTCCTGGGGCACGAAACCTTCCTAGGAGGTCCCAGGAGGTCCCAAGAGGCTCCTGGAGACCCCAGGAAGCCCCAGTAGGTTTCAGGAGGCCCCAGGAGGCCCCAGGCTCATGCACAGAGACGCGCTCGTACTACTGAGGCTCATTCACACTCCAATTCATTCGCAGTTAGATTGATGTCCAGACCGTCACAACTGAAGCCCGTCAATATTCGAAAGCTCTTGCGCCTAGACATTCACGGCGGACAGGTCCATGCGAGTAGATGCACATATGGGGAGCTCCACGCAGTGAATAATTTTCTTGTGCAGCTCAGCGGCTTTCCGAGTGGCCGGCGCGTTGCGCCAAAGCCTCAGGGGGAGGTCTAAAAGGCATGCCATGCACCCCTGTGGCAAGACCACAGGAGGCGGCGGATCGAATGGCCTTCGTCCCATCCCGCCACCGTGCCTGAGTTGTGGGTCAGAGTCCTCAGGGATGTTTCCTGGGGTCTCTTCGAGGCGCTCTCGGGGGACTCTTGGGGACATTTTTGGTGCCTCTTGGGGGCCTCTTGGGGGCCGCTTGGGAGTCTCTTGGGGGCCTCTTGAGGCTTCCTGGCAGCTTCTTGGAAGTCTCTGGGGGCCTGTTGGGGGGCCTCCTGGGGGCCTCTCGGGGCCAGGGGCTCGAAATGTCCGTTCGTGTCCCCGTTCTGGACCCCCTCTTGGAGGCGATCCTGGGCGCCTCTTGGGCCGTCTCGGAGCATCGGGAAGCCGAAAAGGCGAGAACGCGAAAATATTTGACACACCTGAGGTAAATCAATGAATGTTACCTCTTGGAGGCCTCTTGGGGTGTCTTGGAGGCATCTTCGGCCGTCTGGGGGGCCATCTTGTGCGTCCTAAAACGATTGTTCGTCGACTCGGGGCCTCTTTTGGGAGCCTCTTCTGGCCCTCTTGGCTTGTCTTAGAGGCAATCTGGGGCCCAAAAGAGGGGAATCTGCGATGGAACCCACGGCAACCGCGCCAAGGCCCGAGAGATTTGAGAGTCCTCAGGAGTGAAGGCTGAGGCTTAGGGGATGAGGCAAAGGACCTGAGGACACGCCCGCTCCATGCCCAAGGGCACATTGGCGGATAGAGAGAGACAGACAGAGACAGAACAAGAGAGAGAGAGAGAAAAACAAAAAAAAGAAAACGATAATCGAGAGAGATATTGGCAGGTAGAGCAAGAGAGAGAGAGAGAGAAAGCAATCCATAGAGATAGACAGAGAGAAAGAAAAACACATAGAACGAGAGAGACAATATAGAACGAGAGAGAGAGAGAGAGAACAACAACAACAACAAAAAAAAACAATTATCTTGGCGAAGGACCCAACCATATGCAAGTGTGAATAACGCTTTGTGGGTGCTGCTTTCGGTGGGGCTCCTTATGGGGCCACGGAAGGCGTGCCATGAAACGCTGTCCTGGGCGTACGGGACGCATGAAACTGGGGCCTTCGGTGGAGCTCCCTATGGGGCCACGAAACGTGTGACTGGGGCCTTCGGTGGAGCTCCCTATGGGGCCACGAAACGTGTGAGGGGTGTGCCGAATGGGTGCGGCGCCGCCATGCCAACGCAGCCACTGGGGCCTTCGGTGGAGCTCCCTATGGGGCCACGAAACGTGTGAGGGGTGTGCCGAAATGGGTGCGGTGCCGCCATGCAACGCAGCCACTGGGGCCTTCGGTGGAGCTCCCTATGGGGCCACGAAACGTGTGAGGGGTGTGCCGAAATGGGTGGGTGGCCGCATGCAACGCAGCCACTGGGGCCTTCGGTGGAGCTCCCTATGGGGCCACGAAACGTGTGAGGGGTGTGCCGAAATGGGTGCGGCGCCGCCATGCCAACGCAGCCACTGGGGCCTTCGGTGGAGCTCCCTATGGGGCCACGAAGC